GAAGTCGAGTCAAACATCGATGAACTCAGTCTCGAGGCTCTCAGAGACATGGTAGCCCACACTAAAGGGCTACTATGCGCGTGACTATAGTATGGGTCTGGGCTGGAACAACGTGAGTTGTCCCTACTATACGTTTCTACTCAAACCCACTCTTTCCTTCCAGATGCGATACATTATCGAAACCGCTCTTTTACATGGCCAGTTACTTAACCGTACAGTTATCACACCTTCCTTTGTCTATGCAGCGATTCAGGAGGAGGAGGAGAGGTGGCAGTGGTGCAAGGAGGAGGAGGCAGTGGTGAGATGGTGGTGGCGACAAGGCGGTGGTGTCAGAACTGTGACCTTTGGAGTGATTGGAGTTCAGAGTATGGAGATGAAGTGGACATGGACAAGCCCCTAGATTTTGGATGCTTAATTGCAAAATTCTGGGAGTGATATCCGTTAATAACAAGCAAGAACAGTAAAATAAGGAATATATTACTTCTTGGGATAATCAGCAGAGTATGTAAAAATGCAAAAGTAGAACCGGCATCTGATCTCATCAAAACATTTGAACACAACTCCATGTTTGCATGCATCAATCATCTCCTCATCCGACAGGATCTCCCATTGTGCATGCATGAATTCGCAATGGCAGTGTGCCACAAAATTTGAGTTTGTACCTTTTATCCCAGCCTAAGTGGTGGTAAAGTTTTTGAATGAATCAGGTAACTATAACCGTGTGAGTTGAATAGACATAGAATGATGAGAGGAAATACGCACCACTTGAAAGTAAGCTATATGGTCGCATGATTTGTTATTGGGTTTACACCACCGGTATTTTGATTCATTTCCAATATACATATACAACGGCCATAACTTCACATTTGAGAATGTTGTGAGCTGTGTTGCATCTGAAGAGAACATGAGTCCAAGGATGCATCGCTCCAGATTACATCCAGGCTCTTGGGGTGAGTCTTGGAGGTCTTGATATGCCTTGAGGAATGCTGGTGAAGTATAAAGTTCTCCGTGTACGCATGTTTCTTCCAGGCCCTCCGGTTGCCACTTTAGTTCATAAGGTGTAAAATAATAATGGGAGCTGACTTGAGGATCTGAGAGTTGCTCTGAGACAGCTGATACTATGGGCCAATAGTAAAGGTCAGCAACAGTGAAGTCACGAGTGCCAGGCTGATCCATTCTCTTACGGTGGCACGGATATTGTAACAGGTGTGCACTTCCAGCGTGAGTTGTTGGTTCCATTCTCATTGATTTCCCCACCATCAGCCAATAAGTTGTTTATTTTCAGCCAGCTGGCTTCTGCCACATCAGCAGGTAAGAAGTCGGGCAATGTAATAATATTGCAAAGCCTCACAAAGTCTTCCTGCGTTTTCATGTTGCCATAGTTCCAATACCAATCGCCAAGGAGGAAGGAACTAGAGTTGGGGTATGGATGGTAAGGATTCTCAGGTTTGCTGGGGCCACTGCTACTATTGCCATAATATGATGCGCATGAGGTTGATTGCATATAATCAGGATTCTGCAATGGAACAACATAGTTGTACTGTCGCACAAACCCAAAATCATTCCTGGTTAACCAATAGACTTGTGGTGACATTGAGGGCAGGACGTCTGGGATGGCTGGCTGGTTGCTGGTTACGGTGTGAGGTGGCTGTTGTGACAGTGAAGAGAGTGGTGAATTTTGCAATAGTGAAGAGACCTGTGATGAATAAGTGGGGGGTAGTGAGGAATATGGCTGTGGCACCATGTCGCAAAACCGTTTTGGTAGTTTACATTTAGATCGTCTTGTGCGATGTTGTGAGAGTGGGACATCATCATCGTTGGAAGTAGTTTGCATGATCTAGAATGTACTAATCAGCTTGAAAGCCACTGTTACAAATAGTCTACATGCCTCAGTTACAGTTGGTGGAATTCTCATATTGTCCTTGTCAACGTCGGAGCTAATTTGAGATATGAGGCATCTTTTTTTGCTGCTCAAAGCAGCACGGACTCTGTTAAGTGCATCAGATACACCTTGCTTGCGTTTTTGACAGGTTTTCTGGTGGAGTGTGAGTGATCCTGGTTTGGCAAATGTCCTTTAACAGACACACTCATAGGCATTGTCCATGGGGTGAGTGATTGGCTCAGATACAATGAGACAACCTGATGAGACAACCCAATCTCCATAAACCCACAATAGATGATTGGGAGGCGCTATCATTGGGTCAGATATTCATTTCGGATGATGATACTGTATTGCGAGCTAACAGTATGTGGCACATGATTAGATTCAACATGATCCGAACCAGATTGTAGGCTCTGAAAGGTTTGAGGATAACATAAATAAAATGAAGTCCCAAAAAAGAAATACAGAAAAAACCAAGGGTTTGGCTTGGGCTTGGGAACGGAGTATACAACCATGGTGCACTGCATATAATATGAGCAAGAGAGCTCCAAAGACTATACAAATCATGCCCAAAATGTCCTCACCCAATATTCTTCTCAGTGTCTCCAGAGCTCTTGTTGAACACTTTTCTGCATCCGCTGGACTTCATGAGAGCTCACTATCAGTAGTTACTACCAAGCCAGCATCACTAATTGATAATGAGGTATTTTCCTCTTTAATAACTACAAATGCCAATTGATTAGCGGTAACACAGGAACGATATGTCAGCCCACGTACCAGTCAAACAATGCTCCAGTGGTTTTACAGGCTGAAATGCGAGTATACAGCACTTGATATTACTGAAGAGGCTCTAGCTACCAGCCAGGCACTCCTTGACCAGCGAGGGAGGGTGCACCAAGATGGAGGGAGCCGAACAGCAAGGAAGGCTAAAAAAAAGAAAGCCACCGCAAAAAAACAAGTTGTTGGTAAGAATAATCAAATGAGAAGAAACTTGAGGCTTATATTTCTATTCAGGAAAAGTATGGCAGCGGCAACATGGGAGGTTGCATAGGTGCCAGTGGACATGAAGGCACAACCTGCAAATATGAATGAGAGCACCAGACTGCGAGTGAGAAATGTAATAGTACTTACCAATGAGCCTGTAACATCATTCTGTAAAATATTGAACTCCAAGAACAGCTACTGAGAGATGGGGGAAGTGGGAGGTTGTGCAAAGACTTGCCACCAGGTAGACTTGAATGGCATACCCAAGTCTGCATAGTGGCCACAGCCACAATGTGCACACTCACTCGGCCAAACATTGAGGCAAACCAGACTATTTGGGATCAGATAAAAATCAATCTGTGGAATAAAGGGTCAGCGGGGATCTGTGACTGGTAAATTGGAACCTTGATTGAGGTAGTGTAGTTTCCTTGTTTTCAACCTTTCCTGTTACGATCCTTCACACCCTGAAAAGATCCGGCCTGATTTTCAAATGTAAGTCAGCAGCCATCATCACAGGAGCAGAATGCTTACTTAACACTGGTACAACTTGAGTCAATATAAACCGGTGGGATCACTATACTTCTTACTCACCTTTCAGCTCAACCCTGATATTGATTATGCCACTATAGGAGACAGATAGTTTGGATGTTGATAGTGAACAATCATCTGCCTTGAATCTGCACCTTCGATGTGTGCAAGAAAACACTTTGACTGAGGGTCCACGAAAGCATCTGTAAGTTCGTCACTTGAGATCAATGATTGACTACCATCATGATCACCTTGTTTAGTCGTGTTTGTGATCCAACCACAAGCCATGGGCAACACACTTCTGTCGGAGAGTGCACCCGTTCACAAACATACATGCATTGCTGATGGATGGCCTTGCTCGTATGGGTGCAGATGAACCTACTGATCATCTTTCAGCAATGTAAGAGATGAAATATAGGACTTCTATGAGCTAACTATATCTACAGGGAACACTGAGAAGAGAACACTTTTTGTTACAATAACACAATTTTCATTCTCCGTTTTAACCTTTTTACTATAGTTCACACTCCGTGCCATGCGGCTCTTTCCTTTTTCGTTCTAACTCCACCTTCTCGCGCAGCACTGCCTTTATTCTTCTTTTAGACACAAACTCTCTCATGCAGTGGAGCTGATCACATGGGCTGCGCCCTCTGACTTCATCAGCCACTGCTTTTATCAACTGTACAGTACATAAGTACAAACACTCTGTATTAGTATAAATACCCCAATAGATCAAGGAGACTCCTCAGCGAGTCCTCCTGTTGTTAACCAACAAACTCTCTGCAGCTTAAGGGGTAACCACTCCCTCATCACTACCTTTATAGTGTGTTCTTGTGTGCGCCAGAGTAACTAACTCTTGGTTGTTACACTTTTAAGGCTTTAATCAACATGCTTCCTCGGTTCAAGGACCAAATCAGCAATGCAACACTAACAGAAGATGAAATTGAGGTATACAGTGAGCTTGTAAGTGACTTAACCTACATTCTGTGTGCTGATACAAATATACTGGTAGGTTCAGAAAGGCTGTTCTGGAGCTCAATCTGATGATACCAAGACCCTCAAAGGTGCGGTAATTGATTGGATAACACCAAATGGTCAGTCAATTGACCGCCCTCTCCATTGCAATATCAAGACTACTCAAGGTTTCAATCATCCACGCACCGACCAATTGCTTTGCCCTGCAGGCCTTGACTGGGACAATACAGAGTGAGTATTTCTCTATTCACTCACTGTTAGCAGCTATTGTGGGTTGATGGGGAGAGTGCTGTCGCACTGTGTGCCTTGAGCTCACTCACACATGTTTACTAGGCTTCAAAGTAAACTCAAGAGTGGAGAAATACTGGTCACAAGTGACCAATGGCCAGTTTTTTTATATGCAAACAATGTATATGATAGTGGAGACCCTCGGACAGGGTTACTACGTGGCAATCTTCTTGTCCTGGTAAGTGTGCTCTCAATAAAACAAGATCATACTAACAAGATATTATTTTAAACAGGCATACAAGTACATCTTCCTGTTGCCCTCTTCTGTTTGTTCAAATGGTGAGCCACACGCTACTCGGTCCTCAAATGCACGTTTGCACGGTATGCTGCGAGTAACACCAGCCTCTATTGCTTATATAGCTACACAAGTAAGCCCATTTACATTATCTAATCAATACTCAATGTTTTTACACTCAGATAGGTCCGTTTTGCACTGTCCTCGCAGTCCATCTTCTCCTGCACTGATACAACCACTACAGTACTCCCCTTAACACTGGGGGCCGTGTATCAACAGTGATTGTCTCTTCTCCCAGAGCACTATGGGGCCGTTGCGAAGAGCGCACCCTTCTGCTATATGGGATATCCTTAAACAATGACACTATCCCCTTGACCCTGGGGTCCGGTGTCATGCACCAAAGTTGATTGGTAGCATGGACAGGTGTCAAGAATGAAGCGAATATTCAAAAAGACTCGCCTTTGCGCCACACAGGCACAGTGCCACGTGGAATAGTAATTAATATTGCCTTTTCAAATTTGTGGCTGATCAGCACCACCTCTATTAGGCAATCCAGTCGCGTTCACCTTTGCTTTTCCATTCGGTACTTTCCGCATTTCGGCAAATTTTCGTGTCGCCACTGGCTACACATTGTGCCCTCGCATTTGTCGCCCTCCCTTACCTTTTTTTTTCTTTACTCAGTCCCACCATGGGACCCTTGCTCTCTTTTTTATTCTCACCCAACGGTCGCTTCTGGATCCCTATTTTGGTTCACCTCCTTGTCACCTCCACCCTCCTCCTCCTCATCTTCTTTGCTCCCTCACCATATCTGATGTCACCACTTTCTATCTGTTTCTGTTGCTGATCCATTGCCCACCACATGCCGCTGCTGATATCAGCAAAGCCCCGGCGGCTGGTCCAAATTGGGCAAAAGGTCCATTTTCATGATGTCGATCTTCCATCATATACTATCAAAACATTGGTTTCTTGTCTTGCCTGGTTGGAGCGTGGGTGGGTAGTTTTTGAGCTGGAGAAGGTTCATCCCCTTGCGTCTCCCATGTACATTGTTGTCCCATTCACTTGGGTACACTTATCTTTTGTCCATCGTCTTCGCTACAGCTACAGCTACCACACGCTGCCTGGGACTCACTTGTTCCAAATTGGAACTACTCCGGATTTGGACTAGGTGGTGGACCGGTGGCTCCAGTTTCTTTTTTTCAGCAGAACATTCATTTACAGTGTGATTATTTTTGATTTTTGAATCATTTTTATGGACACATATTTTTTTAGGAACTGTGTTGATACTGATATTTTTTTGCTTTGCCCTTTTTTACTACATCTTCCCATGACTTTATGATATTCTTGCTTTTTTTTGTTTTTGGACTTTATTTTATGGCTGTACAAACCTGTGACATTACTTACACAGCATTTATTGTTTGATCTCTTTCTTTTCCTTATTTTGATGATCTTATCCTGTACTACCTATGCAGGATTTGTCAGCATACATTCCTTCCTTCATGTTGTTGCTTATTGTTTTTGCACAGCTATACTGTGCATAGCCTCCCTTTCTTTTACTATATAAACCCCTGTATTTTACCTTGTAAAAAGAACAAGAACTCAAATACAGACTTCTTCTCTAAATCTCAAGTTCACTACTCTGCTACTTGTGATCCAGTGTGGTCACAACACTTCCCACTGTTACTACTGTTAACTGCTGTCATTGTCACTTGTCACTTTTGAAAGTAATTGTCATCCCTTTCAATTAGAGTCCTTCTGAGCACTACAGTTTGTGCGTCAGGAGCCTGCTATCACTGGGAACCTCGTTATCTTGTCATCCTCAAACATACCTTGTGCTAAGATTAGCAAGGTAGTGCTTATCCTATATTTATCTCAAAAAGCCCCTATCTTCTATAGTTCAACTATCCCTCCTCCTCAAAACCCACACCCATACATCTTTGGGTTTTACTTTGAAGGATCCTCATACATACTACCCCATGAACAACCAGAGCACCCACTATTCTAGGAGGCAAAGCCCATAAACAAGTTCCGTGGAATCTGGGAGGATTGTGTGGTGGTTTGTTTTGTGTGTGGTTTTCTAACAACAGTTCTCATCATTGACAGCGAAGGCAAGTGCCCGGCCTGGTCAGAGGAAAGAGAAAGTGAAGGTGAAGTTTTGTATTTAGATTTCTAATCAACAATAGTTCCACACTATTGCTGAGCTAAAGTACTCCCCTTAACACTGGGGGCCATGTATCAATAATTGTCTCTTCTCCCAGAGCACTACAGGGCCATCACTAGGAGCGCACACTTCTGCTATACGGGATATCCCCAAACAATAACCCCTTAACCCTGGGGACCAGGTTTGCACAATGTGCAAGAGAGTAGAAAGAGCAAGTCCTAATGTAACAACCAAGAGTTAGTTACTCTGGCGCACAACTCAGACAAGCTATAAAGGTAGTGATGAGGGAGTGGTTACCCCTTAGGTAGGACCGAGTCAGTTGTGGGTATACAACAGGAGGACTCGCTGAGGAGTCTCCTGGATCTATTGAGGTATATATACTAATACAGAGTGTTTGTACTTATGTACTGTACAGTTGATAAAATCAGTGGCTGATGATGTCAGAGGGCGCAGCCCGTGTGACCAGCTCCACTGCGTGAGAGACTTGTAGCTAAAATAAGAATAAAGGCAGTGTAGCGCGAGAAGGTGGAGTTTGAACAAAAGGGGAAGTGCCGCATGGCACAGTATGTGAAAACTACAGTATAAAGTTAAAGAGGAGAATGATCATTAAAGGTCCGAAAATTGTGTATCGTAACACAAAGGACCTTTACTCCACTCCACCTTTCATCCTCTATCCTCACCCATTCACTCCGTCAAGTCAGGGACCAATGTCCACAGAAGGGCCTAGCACACAAGCTAAGTCAACTCCAACCTTGTACTCTGTTCATTGGGGAAATAATGGGAGTTGGATAAGACCTTACAAGGCCATATCTTTGTTATAAATCACAAAATGATGATCAGGCTGATGGTCGCATTTCTAAAGCCTTACATTGCTAGATTAGATAGGACCTTTCGATCAGCATTACCAGGCTGATATATGTTATCAGATGTATAATAACAATATTGAAATATAAGGAATAAAAGCGGATATATTGCTAGCTACTGTTGATTGCTAGCCAAATGGCTTGATCAGTGTTATGCCAGATATAAAAAATATCAGAATGACATGAATTATAATATTTTATGAATTGCTGTCTGAAATTGGTGAGACATAGTATATCATGTCAGACTGATAGACACTATAAAGTGTTACATATATCATCTTTCTGTGTTACATCATATCTGACCAACATGAACATACATGATCTGATCATCTGCTATAGCAAGTGAGCTGTTTGAATAATACAATATTCCATTTATCTACAATTTTACACAATTGTACATAAGAGCAAGACAAAAAAATTTCCTACACCCCTTCAGAGTGTTTCATAGTGGCACATTTTTCTCGTATTTTTGCAAGGGCACTCTCTTTTGATGGCAGCCTCTCCTGCCTCAACAGTGAAGGGAAGATCTTGCTACAAAAAAAGACATAAAAAAAACACTGACATAAATGTGAAATACTTACTGGTTCCACCAGTTTAGGAGGGCATTAACTTCCTCAATCTCATCGACATCCTCAAGTAAATCCATAATGCTGTTAAAAAATCCTTCAGAATCAGCTCAATAATAGTGTGGAACTATCGTTGATTAGAATTTAGATACAAACTTCTTCTTCAGATACCTCTGACCAGGCCAGGCATTTGCCTCCGCCAGTTGGAGAAGGGTTGACAGCTTAACAAGCGGACCACCCCCTGACAACTGTTCGGACCAGGGTTTTGTTACTATAACTTTACATACATTTTCAAATACTATATTGTGGGTAATCAGAGATTGAGATCCAATACTCAGCTGGGAAGAGGTAGATCCGCAGATAGCAAGCAGGGACCCCCAGTTACATTTTTTTTACATTACCAAGAGAACAAGTCGACATGTTGTCGCAAAGTCAACCAACCTATGTCAATGCTCTGTTGCACAGTATGCGTGCACAGATCTTGGCGTTAACCACGCAACTCGCCGAGCTACAGGCACATCCCCCTGCAGCAACCCCCTTGTTGGAAAAGAAATTCAACAAGAAAGTGGAAGTCGTCGCTGACCCCGGCGCCTTCGATGGAGAAAGAGCGCAATTTGCCGAATGGTGGATCAAACTCCAGATTTGGGTCAAGGCAAATTGGGATGCATTTGCCGATGACTTTGAGGTAGTAACCACAGTGCTGTCTCGACTAAAAGGACCTGTGGTAGGTTGATACGCCCAAGTTAGAATACAGGAATGCTACACCGCGGGAGTGTGGCCTGTCTGGGATGATCTCAAAGTTGAGATCAAAAAGTATTTCAAACCACAAGCTGAGCGTGACTGGGAGCATCAGCAGATCCGTACCTTCAAGCAAGGAAACATGAGGACGGATGATTTCGTAACCCGGTTCCTGGCCCTCTCTATCTGAGGGGGCTTAGGTAATGAACATGCAGTGGAACTGCTGGAACACAATGTGAACCCCCACATTGCAGAACAGCTCTATCTGCAGGATATAAGGAGTGAGAACCTCTCCTAAGCAGCAAAGGAGATTCAAAAAATAGGTAGGGCCACAGAGCTCTACAAAATACATCAAGGTGGCGGGACCACCACCAAAAACAACTATTCCCAGAGGAGCCCTGGGTCATCAAACCAAAAACAAAATCACTCTCACGGGTTCCAACCATTTGGGTTGCAACCAGGGCGGGGAGCTCCTATGGATATCAGTGCGGTCCAGGGCGGACAGACACACAGATTCACTTGCTACAACTGTGGCGAGGAGGGGCACATAGCCCAAAAGTGTCCAAACGGAGCGCAGGCAGCTCAACAACAAAATAACCAAGGGCGCCAGGCGCGCCAATTAGAAGCTGAGAAGCCGGACAATCGGCTCAATACTCTGGCTGGTTGTTCTTATGACGAGATCCGGGCCTTTTTCTATGACCAGCAGGTCAACGAGACAAAGGCTCAGGGAAAAGAGTTCGGAGCTTAGGTCACTTGGGTGCCTTCGCTCCACGAAACAAAGAAGTAAACCACAATAAGGTGGCCCCTGCTCCAGGGTGTTGCACAAGCAATAATGGAAAGAAGGGGATGGCTCCCGAATTTGTAAATAGATTCTTAAATTTGTCATCAGAAGTATGTACATGTATGCGTAGTTGTGACGGTGGATTTGCCCTGGACCCATCTGATGATATAGCTGCTTTGAGCGCTGATTCAGTGGGTCAGGATAATGAAGGAGTTAATGCTAGAAATACGTACAATACCACCGCTGTACCAGTGTCTCCTTTGGAGTGTGGCCCCAGCGAGACAAATACTAGGGTGCTTGATTCTCATAAAAATAAAGTAGAAAAATATGTTGCTTCTTCTTCTTCTTTGGAGCCACACCCGAAATCCCAAGGTGTGTGTTGATGTGCACATATTTATTCCAAAAAGAGATATGTTTAGACATTGGTGTGGAAAACCTTGCCCAAGGCACAGTACACCCAACCAGTGCACTGCTTGATTCAGGCGCTAACAGCATCTTCATAGATCAGGTCTGGGCAGAGCACATTGGACTCCCCCTTGTAAAATTAGATATATCTATTCCAGTCTATAACATTGACGGTACGCTTAACGTGGGTGGCTGCATTATGCACAAATGTTCTTTTGTTGTTGAGTACCAAAGACACAGAGAATAAGTCACCGCCGAGGCTACCCAATTAGGGAAGATTAATTTAATCTTAGGCTGGACCTGGCTGTTTAAACACAATCCTGAGATCAACTGGCAGACAGGGGTTGTCACATTGTCACGTTGTCCGCTGGAGTGTAAAAACTTGGGTAAGCCAAGTCCTGTCCGTCAAACTGAGCTTAATGAAAGGATAAACGCTGGTCACGTTTATGCCAAGCTTAGGTCTTTAGAAAAGATTGACAAAGACAATGACGAGGTAAAACCCGAGGAAGAGATTAAGAGGCTGGTACCTCCCAAGTACCATGACTTGTTCGTTCCCACCAACAAAACCATTACCGCCACTGGTACGGCAGATCTATTTAAAGATTTCATATGGTCTATCCATTGTAACAACCAAGAGTTAGTTACTCTGGTGCACAACTCAGACAAAGCACAAGGGACTATCAACCAGCAGTGTGTACCACTGATCAATCAAAGAGAGGTGGAATACCAATCAGCAGTATGTACCACTGACCGGTCAAAGTCGCTGAGGTAGTGGGTAAGCCCTCACACAGACTTAGTTGGGTAGGACCGAGTTAGTTGTGGGTATACAACAGGAGGACTCGCTGAGGAGTCTCCTGGATCTATTGGGGTATTTATACTACTACAGGTTGTTTATACATGTTGTACTATACAGTTGATAAAGCAGTGGCTGATGATGTCAGAGGGCACAGCCCATGTGACCAGCTCCACTGCGTGAGAGACTGGTAGCTAAAATCTATAACGAAGGGGACGGTGGTCCCAAAAGTCGCGTGCGGCACATGTGGAAGCACATTTTTCGCTTAGTTTCGCTTGCGTGGTTTTCGGTTAGCAGTAGAGGGAAGGTAGTGCAGTAGTAATGAGTGCAGTGAAAATTGCAGCCACATTGAAAATTCTCTCGGTTATAAGAACATTCAACAATTGTAGTGAAAATTGTAGCCACATTAAAAATTCTCACGCTTAATCATTTTTACTACAAAACGCAATATAGTGGACACCAAAACTCACACCTGTGGCACAATGTGACACAACTCAACCAAACAAACCTCTTTTCCTACTATGTGGGGAAGTGGCCTGGCCCTACACACAAAACAAATTGTTGTTGAGAATTTGCACATTTTGCATTACAAAAATTAACAGCTATTATTGACCACACTGTGGTGTGCATAAAAGTAAAATCAAAGACCCTTCCCCACACATAAAAACACAGTTTACACAATGTGAGTTTATAACAGTTTATGGTGTTGATTCAATTAAAACTGACACATTGATTACAGAAGCCCAAATTATCAACAAATCAGTGCACATAGCAAATACATAAATATGAATATGAGCAATTCAAATATGCAGTATGTGTAGCATTGTTAATGTGTCATTAACCATTAACTGATATATTAATGTGATTTGTAGACATATTCCACAGACTCCTGAATGAGAACGTGGTGAACATCGCGATAGAGATCGCATACAACATCATCACCAAGTGTACGACGAGAGCACCTCTTGGATCAAAGAGATTTGAGAAATAGAAATATTGCGCAACCAAATTTTGGAAGACCTGTGGATGATAATAACATGCCTCAGCCATTAGCTGGACCTGCACACCCTCAATTGCAGCCCCCTTTTCAAATGCGGCAGGGTAACCAGTTGCTTGCTACCCATGGTGTTGACTACAATGAAAGGCTATTAGATGGGTTTCAAAACTGACATGCAGAACGGTGTCGATGATGAGAACTGCTGTTAGAAAACCACACACAAAACAAACTAACACACAATCCTCCCAGATTCCACGGAACTTGTTTATGGGCTTTGCCTCCTAGAACAGTGGAGTGGTCTGGTTGTTTGTGGGGTGGTACGTATAAAGATCCTTCAAAGTAAAACCCAGAGGTGTATGAGTGTGGGTTTTGAGGAGGAGGGATAGTTGAATTTATAGAAGGATAGGGGCTTTGTGACGAGTATAGACGAGCACTACCTTGCTAATCGTAGCACAAGGTAGGTTTGAGAACGACAATATGACGAGGTTCCCAGTGATAGCAGGCTCCTGACACACAAACTGTAGTGCTCAGAAGGACTCTAATCGAAAGGGATGACAATGACTTCAAAAGTGGGAAGTGACGATGACAGCAGTTGACAGTGGTAGAAGTGGGAAGTGTTGTGACCACACTGGATCACAAGTAGCAGAGTAGTGAACTTGAGAGTAGAGAAAAAGTCTGGATTGGAGTTCTTGTTGTTGTTTTTACAAGGTAAAATACAGGGGTTTATATAGTAAAAGAGAAGTAGGCTATGCACAGTATAGTTGTGCAAAAAGAATGAGAAAGAATATGAAGGAAGGAATGTACGCTGATGAATCCTGCGTAGGTAGTACAGGATAAGATTGTCAAAAAAAGAAAAGAAAGGGATAGAACAATAAATGCTGTGAGTAATGTCACAGGTTTGTACAGCCATAAAGTAAAGTCCAATAGCAAAAAGAGAGCAGGAAGATCATGATGTCATGGGAAGATGCAGTAAAAAAAGGGCAAGGCAAAACACTATCAGTATCAACACAGTTCCTTTGTTGTCAGTCAGGCATTCTAAAAAATATGTGTCCATAAAAATGATTCAAAAATCAAAAATAATTGCACTGTAAATGAATGTTCTGCTGAAGAAAAAAAAACTGGAGCCACCGGTCCACCACCTAGTCCAAATCTGATAGTTCCATGGCCTTACCAATGGACTGGTTGTGTTGGACCACCTGATCAAACGAGGGAGGGAGAGGAGTAGTTCCAATTTGGAACAAGTGAGTCCCAGGCAGCGTGTGGTAGGTGTAGCTGTAGCGAAGACGATGGATAAAAGATAAGTGTACCCAAGTGAATGGGACAGCGATGAACATGGGCGACGCAAGGGGATGAACCTTCTCCAGCTCAAAAATTACCCACCCACGCTCCAACCAGGCAAGACGAGCGACCGATGTTTTGATAGTATATGATGGTAGATCAACGTCATAAAGATGGACCTGTTGCCCTATTTGAACCGGCCGCCGGGGCTTTGCTGATATCAGCAGTGGCACATGGTAGTCAACGGATCGGCGACGGAAGCGGATAGGAAGTGGTGACATCAGAAATGGTGGGGGTGCAAATAAAATGAGGAGGAGGAGGGTGGAGGTGACAGAAAAGTGGATTAGAATGGGGATCCAGAAACGACTGTCAGGTGAGAATAAAAAGGAGAGGAAAGGGCCCATGGTGGGGCTAGGCAAAGGAAGGGGAGTAAGGGAAATGACAAAAGCGAGGGCGCAATGCAATGTGTAGCCAGTGGCGACGCGAAAATTTGCCAAAATGCCGAAACGTGGAAAGTACCGAATGGAAAAGCAAAGGTGAGCGTGACTGGATTGCCTAATAGAGGTGGTGCTGATTAGCCACAAGTTCAAAAAGGGCAATATTCATTACTATTCCACGTGGCACTGTGCCTGTGTGGCGCAAAGGCGAGTCTTTTTGAATATTTGCTTCGTTATTGACACCTGTCCATGCTACCAATCAACTTTGGTGCATGACAATGGGTTAATCAACAGTGTAATAGACTAAGAGGGCAGGAGCAGGTCAAGGATCAGGCAATTCAGCAACAGGAGGCATTACGGCTCCAAAGGCAGGAACAGCAGTTGGCTGAGGATCATGTCCGCCAGGAAAGAGAATTTCAACAGCAGGAGGCAGTTAGGCGGCAGGTACAGCGGCAGGCTCAGCATGCTGACCTGCAATATGGAGAGGAACAAGCTGAGCAAGTCCGTAGGGCGCAGAGAGCTGCTCAAGAAGAGCTTGAAAGGAGGGAAGAAGAGCTAGCAGATCAGGCTCACAGGGCTGCCAGGGATGCTGTAGACCAAGGCGAGGACTTAAATGAACTGGTAGCTGCCAGAAATGCACCAAGGATGCCAAGGCCTCAACAGCTTGCAAACAAACAAAATATTGCCAACCGCCGCCAAGCACAGGTGATACGCCAGGAGGCCCAACAACCATATGTAAAGCCTCTATACCGTCATACTTTACACAACATGGAAGTAGAGTGCCGTAATTGTGGAGCGTTACACTGGGATATCGAGAGACTCACAAGTTCCTCCAGGATCCATCCAAAATTTGGTGTGTGCTGCCTTCAAGGTCAAGTTAGGCTGGATCCTTTCCGGGAAGCACCTGCTGCACTACACCGTCTGTTCCGTGGGGTTGACATTACTGCACGTGAATTCCACGACAAAGTTCGCTCATACAACAATGCCTTTGCATTTACATCTTTGGGTGTCAAGATAGACCATGCTGTCACAAGTGCTGCAGGACCTTATAGTTTCC